ATTGGAGGAAGACTCATTAACAACCTGCGATATGCAGATGATACAACCTTGATCGCTGAAAGTTAAGAGGACTTGAAACATTTACTTATGAAGATTAAAGAGCACAGCCTTCGATATGGATTACATCTCAATGTCAAGAAAACAAAAATCCTCACCACTGGACCAATAAACAACATTCTTATCAATGGAGAAAAGATTGAAGTTGTCAAGGACTTCATTCTTCTTGGATCAACTATCAACACTCGCGGAAGCAGCAGTCAAGAGGTCAGACGACGTATTGCACTGGGCAAATCTGCTGCACAGGAACTTTTTAAAGTGTTGAAGAGCAGAGATGTCAGCTTGAGGACTAGGGTGCGCCTGACCCAGGCCATTGTGTTTTCAATAGCCTCATATGGATGCGAAAGCTGGACAGTGAATAAGGAGGATCGTAGAAGAATTGATGCCTTTGAGTTGTGGTGTTGGAGGAGAATACTGAAAGTGCCATGGACTGCCAAAAGAACCAATAGATCTGTTTTGGAAGAAGTGCAGCCAGAGTGTTCCTTGGAGGCCAGGATGGCTAAGCTTCATCTCTCCTATTTTGGACATATTGTCCGGAGGAAACAATCGCTGGAGAAGGATGTCATGCTGGGTAGGGTGGAGGGTCAGAAAAAAAGAGGAAGACCCCCAACGAGATGGATCAGCCAGGTGGCATCATTGATGGACTCAGGGGTGGCAGCGGTGGTGAGGTTGGCCCAGGATCAGACATTGTTTCGTTCTGCTGTGCATGGGGTCGCTATGAGTCGGTTCCGACTCGATGGCACCTGACAACAACAACCAAAACATGTGACGAAGGTAGAGAGAGGGAAGTACACAGCAAAGACAACAGCTTTATGTTGAAGTTCATCATATTTCAGTACCACTTAAGCTAGAGGACAGGGAGCAATCCTGAGTGCTCATGGGGAAGAAGACAAAACTAAACCTCAACCATAACTCAGAATGCAATTAAGAGCCCTGGTATGGTGATATAAGATAAGCACTGGACTGCTAACCGAAAGGTCAGTGGTTCAAACCCACCAGCCACTCCTTGGAAACCCTACACATGTTCACTTTGAATCAGAACCCACTCCACAGCACTTAACAACAACAGCCTGGATTTGGAAATTCGAGAGGACAGTGTCTCCGTGCAAATTCCCGGTCATTCTCTGTCCCTTTATATTTGGTTCTAAATGTACTATAAAGACCTGTGGGATTTATTCTTGATCATTTAGCAGATTTATGTATTTAGAAAAGAGCTACCAGGGATAGATTCCCAGAAAGTGGCTTTAAGCTCTAATAAATGAGATCTGATTTCTGGCCTTTCACAGGAAATCAATAAGAGAAGAATAGAATTCTGCACAATGAGCGGTTTTCCTTGTAAGGCTGCCCCGACCACAGCATTTTCCAGAATGAACCTGTTGCAGCCTGTAATTGTTTTGTGATTAGTGTGAATGACTGTTCCTTACCGCATAGATTCGCTATTGATTTCTAAATTAATAATCATCCCTTGTACTTAGATAGCATCCAATCTCAAAGGGAATCTGAGTGCGTTAGAGTTGAATTCTAATTCATCTTCATACCATCCTGTCGAACGTAAAGACTAGGTGTGCCGATTGCATTTTAAGGAGGCAAAAAATAGAAGCAGAAAGGCTAAATCTTTGGCCATGGGGAATTCAGAAAAGTATTAACAGAGGCACTGATTAAAATTGGACAGCCCTGACTTCTAATTCTGGCTCTTTCCCTAAAACATCTGGTCAATTGGGTTAGCTCTGATGATTCTATTGGAAAAGAAGTTGATTAAAACAATTTGTTGACATTGTGATAATTAACACAAGTTTGCCTTTCTCCCTGTTATTGTAATGATTTACAACAATGGGTCTGGTGACATTTTTATTAGACCACATGCATTCTTCAGTGGAATGCTTTGAAGTCACATGTAGCAGAAGTATATCCCCATGTAAAGGAACAATGCAAAACTTAAATGCAGTGGTGCTGTTGTTATTGTTAAGTGCTGTCCAGCTAGTGCCAACTCATAGGGTTTCTGAGAGTGTTGGTGGGTTTGAACTGCTGACCTTGCCACTAGCAGTCCAATGCTTATCCTACAGTGCCACACCAGGGTGCTAAATGTGACAACAGATGGATGTTATTTTCAAGGACCCTTGGTGGTTCACTAGGCTTCGAATCACAAGCTTGATGATTCAAACTCACCACCCCCTCTGCAGGAGAAGGAAGAGGCAGGCTGTTCTCGTAAAGATTTACAGCCTCAGAAACCCAATGAAGCAGCCCTATTCTTCCCTATAGGATCTCTATGAGTCATAAATGACATGAAAGCAGTGGTAGGGTGTTTCTATCACCTGCTTGGTCTTGGTGTGGCTCTGTAGGATAAGCACTGGACTGCTAACCTTGAGATCAGTGGTTTATATCACTGATGTGGCTGTTGAGTTGGAATCGACTCCATGACACTTAACAACAATGACTTGGCATTATGAGTTTTAACTGAAAAAAAAAAAAAAAAAGAATCTCCCTCGGCATCATATCATGGTGGTGGTGGGTCTGACTCATAGCCACTACGTATAGGGTTTCTGAGGCTGTAAATCTTTCCGTGAGCAGAAAGCCTCATTTCTCCTGTGGAACGGCAGGTAGTTTTGACCTTGAGGTTAGCAGCCTGACTCGTAACCAGTATGCTACCAGAGCTCCCTCAACATGAGCATGCTCCAAATCCTTCACTGTACCCATCTTTTGAGAAAGTCATTGCTATCTTATCAATCACACATTCTTCCAGCCTTCAGGATTAGAGATATTGATTCTCTCCCACCTCTTCCATGACAATCCATGTTCATTTCACTTCTGAAGCACTGATCACTCTGACCCAGCTTATCTTTACCGCTGCCCATATAAAGTGGTGGTGGCTGTTGAGTATCATGGAGTCAATTCCAGCTCATACCAACCCTGTATAGAGTTTCAAAGGCTGTAAATCTTTGCAGGAGCAGAAAGCCTCATCTTTCTCTCAAGAAGGATCCAGTAGGCTTGAACAACTGACCTTGTGGTTAGCAGTCCTGTGCTTATCCTACAGAGCCACCATGCTTACTATATAATGGGGGGGGGCTTTATGTCTCCCCAACTTCTGCTTGTCTGCTTCTGAGGCCATCTTAGATTAATTTCCCTAATACTTTTCCCATCATTTTTAAATTATGAGTTATTCAGGCTCATAACAAGAATACAGAATAATAGGTTGAACATTCATAGCCCCACCATCTAGCTTTTAAAACACCACGTAGTGAAACAACTGAAAACTGCCTTTGAACCCTTCTCCAATTTAATTTCTTTCCTTCCTAACAATCCCCTCCCCTAATATGGTGGTTTTAATTCTTACGAAGGCTTTTATACTTTAACCACATATAACATGAGAATTACAATAATGCATACCAACTCTTGGTTTGGTTTGTAAATGAAATCACCCGAATCATTTCTTTCTTTTTCTCTTCTTTTCTCATTATGACTTTGAGATATCCCTTTTGGTTTTGAGATTCATCCACTTTGGTACACGAGGCTTTGTTCTCTTCATTTCATTCCTCCATACTCAACGAGGTCCATATATTACAATCTATTCATTATTTTGAGGATACGCATTAAGATTACTTGTGATTCCCCCACACACACAAGTATAATTATGCAATAACATTTGTAAATATGCTTCTTTCAGCACTTGTGTGAGTGTTTCACTATGGCCTGTACCCAAGAGTCTAAATGCTGGGAGGTAGGATCTGCTCTTTTCCAAACTTATTGTTAACAAGTGGTTGTGACAATTGATGGTCTCCTTGTTCGTGCCATCCTCATTTCAATAGACTCTTGGTTGGCCTCTGCACTGTCTCTCAGTGTAATAGCTCCTTAAAGCTGCTTAAAACTTCTCTATCTGATGGACTCTTCCCAGGTACACAGGTCCAATAGCTTTTGGAACACATGCAGAAATGTAAGTGTGTGAACAATGCATGGTGCACGATGGGATTGCGGTAGACTGTGGAGAGGAACACTCTACCCAAAGATAATCAGATTCAAGTTTCTCTGGCACTGTGGATTAATGTGCTGGACTGCATGGTGGGTTTGAACTGCAGCAACTACAATAACCACCAACTACAAAGTATTAGTGCACCATCTTTAATTGTGGACTCCTAATTTATTGTCCCCATAGCCCCCGACTTCCTTGTCTTTTCCTGAAAGTCTACCACTCAGATATGTGAACATCCCATTCAAAGAATAGCCATCACAGAATTATGAGCATCAAAGAGCACAGACACTGGAACTAGCTTGCCTGGGTTTAAATCACAGCTCCACCATGTACTGGTTGAATGCTCTTGAACAAATTATGTAAGGTCTCTGTCTGTGACTCAGTTTACTTATCTGCAAAATGGGGGAAATGTCAGTATTTATTTCACAAGGCTGAGGTGAGAACTAAGTGAGATCATTGGTAACTAGCATTCAGCATCCCAGTGGTCACTCAATAAATTTCTGTTGAAAAGAGTAAACAACAAATTGCACCACACGCATTCTGTGTCAGGCATTGTTTAAGGAACTGGGCAGAAAATTATGACTTTTTCTTAATACCTATCTCTTTCACAAATGAAGTAGCCAGCTGTGTCTATGCCTCTAGCATAGTTTTTGGCACATGGTGGATGCGCAAGAAATATGTATTCAATGAATCCATGGGTCTAAAGATTATCCTATGGCAGTGTAAATGTTCATCTACTGAGCCAGGATGGAGCAAGTTAATTCCATCCGCAAGGGCTTCACTCCCTGCATTTTGCTGTATTCTTATTCTTTGAATATGGGTGATTCCTCTATAATATGGGTAGCAGCTTGCCATTTGCCAAAATATATGAATTGTCAGTGTATCATCTTCTTTGATGATGATGAATGATAGGTAATTGACACACAAAAGAACACCCTCCAACCTTCGATGATAACCGGTCTTTGTTCTCAAATTTCAGGTCTCATAGTCCATGAAGGTGCTGCAGTTTACAGAGTGTTTAAACGTTGGAGAGCGGTGAACTTGCACTGGGATGTCTTAAACTACGACAAAGCCACAGACATTGAAGAAAGTAGCCGAGGAGAGAGTTCCACGAGCAGGACTTTATGGTTGCCGCTGACGGCTCTGCGGAATAGAAACTTGGTCCACCCAACCCAGCTAACCTCCCCAAGGTTCCAGTGTGGCTATGTATTACTGCATCTGTTCAACCGGATGAGGCCCCACGAAGACTTGTCAGAAGATAACAGCTCAGGGGAGGTTGTGATGAGAGTGACGTCCGTGTAACGGAAGTAGAGCGTGCACCACCTAGCACATTTTGGAATGTAATTGCAATGAATGGCAAAACGATACCACTTCTAAACACACTCACACATACATCTATGAACTTTTTAAAATTTGCGCTTTTTATATGAACATTTGAATTGCAAATACATTTTTCTGAAGAAAAAAAAAGTCTTCTTGTGCTTTGTTTTTGTTTTTGATTTATGACATCTTTTATAAGTTGGTACTTGAAATCATGATACATATCATTTAACTCTTCTTGGTTAAAATAATGATGAACGTTATCCTTGAGACCAAATCTATTTTTCCTTGTTTGTTTTAAATATATTTTTATCAAACGTTTCACTCCATGTGTAATTTTTCAGATTTGCTACTGACGGGTAAGAATTCTGCATGCTCTGGGCAGATCCCCAAGTTGTGGATGCTGTGGGCCAACCAAGTACGCAAAGTAGAGGCATTCCCAGAATCCTCTGCAGAGTTCTTCTTTACGCCTCCTTTCAGTTGGCCAACTTGAGAATGACTTTTCCACGGTGATGAAATGATCTGTCATCAAGAATATATGTTCTAAGAATTACAACTTATTTTTCTAGCTCTTAAAAACAGTACTGAGAGCTCACACAAAAAAACAAGATAAGGATGAATGGAATAAACTAGTTTGATCCCAATCTATACTACAAAGGCAGGACATATGCATACTAATAACTCAAAAAGCTCCCCCAAATGCTGCCTCATCACAGTAAACCACTGTTGGTGGTAGTGATGTGTGCTTTCAAGTTGATTACGACTCATAGTGACCCTGTATTCCTTTATGAGAGAGGCTGGTAGGTTTGAACTGCCATCCTTGAAGTTAGCAGTCCAGTGTTCAACCTACAGCACCATACCAGGGTTCTTTGTAAGCCACTAATTATCACAAAGCTGACTCCTGTGGACACCCATGTGTCAGAGTGCTCCACTGGGTTTGCAATGACTGATTTTTCAGAAGTCGATTACCAGGCCTTTCTTAGTCAGTGTTTCTGGGTAGACTCCAACCTCCATCCTTTTCAGTGAAAGCCCAACTGTGTGAACCCTTGTACTCCCCAAGGATTCTTTATCATAGATATGTTTCAATAACACAACGTTAGATTTGCATATCCTTCTAAAAGACCTATCACACTCATTTTGGTTAATCATTATTAGTGTCTTGAATTCTATGAGGACAATTTTGATTTGATTTTCATTTTGTTGAAGCTTATTTAACCTACTTAATCATTTAAACACTGATTCTATTACTTGGTTTAATGAGTTCCCGGGAAATGTTTTCACCAGCAGTTGCAAGTGTTTCTCTTAATTCTGTCATTGTCAGGTGCCATTAAGTGGGTTCTGACTTAGAGCAACCCTGTATAGGATTTCCAAGGAGCAGCTGGTGAGTTTAAACCACCAACCTTTCCATTCAAAGAGACCTCAAAGTCGAGTGCTTATCCTACAGTGCCACACCAGGACTCAGTTATCCAAATGAGGTTTTTGTTAATCAAAAGTGGATGAGAAATATGAAGCTACTGACTCTACAGGAACAGGTTGCTAATGAGGAATACCTGGGGATTTTCCACCTTTTTAACCTCATAATGGAGGTAATTGGCACATTTTAATGGCAGTGACAGAGAGAGGTGGGCATTGGTGGCTTGCCTTCCAAAGAACCTGAACATACTGGCTGTTTGAAGTAATTAATGATCAGGTTCTGAAGCATATGGGATAAAATGTTTTACATTACATTTCCAAAAAATAACTCGTGAGTGAATATGAAAAGAATACTTAATGTTGACAGGTAGCAGGATCATTCTCACATAGCAAATTCTACCAATACTTGAAATCATGTTTTCCTGATTTAAAAACTATACCACAATGGAGTCAAGGACATGATGTCATAAAATAAGGAAAATTCAAAACAATATTTAGGGGCAGCTCTAGGGGGGAGAGAGTGTTAAACATTTTTATTCCAAACACTGTTAGTTTATTTCAATCTGATATTATCTTAGGGCTCTAGCTGCATAGAAGTCTTGGTATGGCACTGTGGGCTAATGCGCTGGACTGCAAAGTTGGTGTGAACCACAAAGTCAAAAGTTCTAACTCACCAGCCTCTCCTCGGAAGCCCTATGCAGGGTCACTAGGAGTCGGAACTGACTCAACAGCACTTAACAACAACAACAACAGCAGTATAGGCTTGAGTGAGTTACAGTCAGACCTCTGAACCTGGCCTCTTCTCTGGGAAACTTCAAGTTTGGATGGGAGGCCTGCTTACTTAGTAGACAGAGACACCCAGAATGCCAGTTGGCTATCAAAACTACAATCCCCCCTGTGTATCCTGCAGGTGTTGGTATGTGTCCTAGAGCATTTCATCACCAGCCACCAACTACTAGAGGATACATGGGAGAAGTATTAGAATTCTATGTTAAAGAGACAGGACTGAAACACTTCACGGCTCCAGTATTTAGCAAGACAGCCCATTTAATCAGTGACCACCTTAGTATTCATATCAATTCACTCAAAAATAGAAAGGGAGCCCATATGAGAGCCACCATCTCTGTAATGCCTTCATGGGCCTGTGAGGTAGAGACACCTAGAGAGGAGAGAGTGGTAATCTTGTTCTGAAAACAAGTTGTTCTCTAGTCCACCTCACTCCCCAGAATCTCACCCTTGTGATATATTTTTCAGTAACACCTTGTATTTTCCTCCACTATCTTCAGTAGCCTTACCCTTCATGGGGTAAGGAATTTAACATTCACCCAAAGAATGTGGTCTTTGCCTTTGGTTTTTGAGGGATAACCTCTAAAAGCTTGGAATCTCCCAGTAATGGACGTGTTTGTGATGAGGACACAGAACAACACCTGATTGTTCCTGCTAATGAGGTCACTAAGGTGAGTAGTTCACCAGGTTAGAACTACCGCTGAGTGAAAGCAGTTGACCTCCATCAGTCATGGCTATGTCGTGAGGGCTGTGGACATTGAAGTTCCAGGGGTCCTGGTTGATTAAAGATATCTATGCACACGGGTGCCCCTTTTTTTAGGACATGGAACCCTCCCTGTATTGGGAACCCTCCCAGGCCTCACTCAGCCTATGAGTCTCTTCATTTGTATCTGTTTTGTATAATAAAATTATCATCTTAAGTGCTTTCTTTGAGTTCCACAAGTTGTTCAAATGACTTATCGAGCCTGGGAAAGTAGTGGGACCAAGCATGAGGGAGCCCAGGGCATCCTTGGGGTTACTTATGGTTAGAATCCTGAGGAGACACTGGAGAAACCATGATGTGGAGCCAGCAGGTCAGAAGTGAGGGTGCCATGGGGACTGGAAGCTTGTGACTGGTATCTAAGGTCTTGGACAGAATTGGAAGCCTGTAGGAATGAACCCTTGTATCTTGTGAAACCTGATTTAGCTCATGGTTGGGTTAGAGGAAGAAGTGCCTTATGTGCTTCTTGTGTTCAAACAAAGACAGGGAGAGTGTGAATTGAATTGAGACTACATGGAATCAATTGGTTTTGCTTTCCACACAGGTTGGTGTCAGAAAAATCCACAACCAAAGCCAATGCCTTCAAGTCAATTCCAACGCATAGAGGACAAAGCAGACCTGCCCCATAGGGTTGTTGTTGTTGTTAGGTGCCATTGAGTAGGAACTGACTCATAGCAACCCCATGCACAGCAGAATGAAACAATGTCTGATCCTGGGCCAACCTCACTACTGCTGCCACACTT